TGAGCACCACTTAAATTAATACACATTTTGTCATTTCTGTGGATGAGACAGCGTATCTAAATAAATTCTTTCACCACTAAGCTACACTGTTCTGAAGCTGATGTTTAATGTCACTGTGTGATCCAATAGTATTATTGGTTCTTTATCATCTAAGGACAGCCATTTCAGGACTTATATATGAAGTAATTTGCAGTTTTACTTTCTGTATGTTCAAAGATGTGATGTGCAAGCTCTACATGAGCCACAGTTATTAGCAATATATTAGGTTAGCTCCAGTGCTAATGTGTTTGTGGAAAGAGTTTCTTGACGTTTCTTTATGTCTAAATAGCATGCCATGAGCCTTTAGTGACTTTATCACTTTTTCCTCCAGATAAATGATGGAAGTGCAAATAATAATGTTGGGAATTGTTTTAATCAAGCATTTACTATATCCTCTCTCCTCTGCAAAGCTGTTGTTATTGTTATTTTAGTAGTGATACTTCTTGTTTCAGTTTTCCTCCCATAATATTATAATTGAACGAATCTTGGAAATGCAGAGGGAGCATTACAAGTTTTATACAAATAACTTAAGAGGTGAGGAGACAAAGGGAAAGAACAGGGAAAAAGAAATCCTAATCATCTGTTCCTAATTTATCCACCCTAATACAATCTGCCCTATCCAGCTCATCATCTCCTGATGTATAATGCATGGATAAATATTGCTACCTATGTACTCTGTGAATGCAAAGGTAGTTTATAATTCCCCTGAACGGTTTTATTAATAGTACTGTGTTAACCACCTTGGTCTGAGTCATAACTAATTGTTACTCTATATTTGTGAAACCCAAGGAAATGAAGACAAGAGGAGGCAGAAGATGGGAAAAAATCCCACCCTGGAGTTAGGTGTATTAAAAGAATAAGTTCTTTTAGTCTAAGCAAGAAGCTCGTAATACTTGTTAATGTAGTTATTCTTTAAAACAGTTTTTCAGATATTAAATTAGAAATCTTCACTATGCTCTAGCTATTAACAGAAACCACTTGAATTTCTGGATGGAAGTCCAGTGGAAACAGAATTATAATATCCGAAAGCCTATATAATGGCATGTTAAGTTTTCCATTGACTGGTTTCAGCCCTCATATTCCCTTTTCATTTTTAAAATATACTATTAAGGAGAGGTTGAGAGGTGAGCAAGTTTGACATCTTACCCATTTGTTGCTTCACAACCTATTGCAGAAAAATATATCTCTTAGTTTTAAAGGAAATAAATCTAATCAGTAACATTAAGTTGTGTAATACACACCCCATTAACCTTGTGCTTCATGTGTCTCCAAAAAGCCTGCATAGAAAGGTGGCACAGCAGATCACTAGCAGGACCAGGAGAGAAACCTGAATATGCAAAATATCACTCAAAGTCCCTGTATTCCTTCATCAGTGTGCAGACTTTGCAGGAGATGAAGTCCAAGGGAGATCTGGCAACAAAACAGAGAGAGTTCTCTGAATATAGCTGCATGAATTGGGCAGGAGAAAAATCCTGGTAAACAGTAAAAAGCACCGGTAAATAAATATAAATTTACTGCTCTGAATTCCTCTGAACCCCTCTGAACCCTGACAGTGACAATTCGTTCCCAAAGAATACCTATTTGTCATTCCACCCACTGCTGTGCTATAGCCGACACTGAAAACATATTAGGAAAGTGTATGTAATGTTCAAGGCATCTTCAGGCTCTTTCAGATGTAGGAAAATCCAGACTGGTTGCTCAACCACCTTTCCTACCAAAACACCAGCTGGAGAGAAGCTCCTAATTATTTGGAACTCAGTGTGCTGTTATGAGCTTGAACAGATGAAGACTAGACAGAGCCAAATTGCCCTTTCACACCACCTTAACATTGGTATAACATCACCGATTTAAACACCATTAAGTGACAGATGAGTAGGTCTGCATATCTGCATGTAATGTGCAGAGGGAAATGAAAACTTTTTCTTTAAAGGGATCTTTAAGAACTGTTGTGGGCAGAGGAGGGAAGAGGAAACACAAAATACAAGATGGTCAAAAAAATGAAAACAAGCAGTTCACAGGGTAGGAGGAAGGCAGCTCATGAGGAGAACAGAACTCCCATGTTGAGAGACCTCTGAGCATAGCGTGCTTCTCTTACCGTCATACCTGCAGTATGCAGCAAACACAGAAGAATGCTGTGAGTATTGATGATCAGTGATTTTTCATTCCTGAGTTGTGGAATGTCCAGGTTAAGCTGTGTGAGCATAATGTAAGTAATAACAGTTCATTCAGGAAGCTGCAGAGGTTTTGGCAGCTCCTTCAAAATTAACACAAATACTTGGAGATTTAAGGGGTATGGATTAATTTTGTTTTGTTTATGTTCATTTTGAACAATATTTTACCCTGTTATCACTTAATGTGAATTGATTCTTGGGAGAATTTTCATTTAATCTATTTAAGGAAATAGAAATTTAGAAAATTATCTTTCATTACTTGTAATGCTGCTACTTTCACTTTTCCTTTAGCCTCTCTAGCACAGAATTGGCTGGATTGTATCAATTGACTATTTAGATTCATATAGCTCTAGGCAAAATATCAGGCACAGAATATGTATGTCATCCCTGAAACTACTGATAATAATGTCATTAACATGACCTATCAGTCTTTATATTTTTCAGCAAGAAAAGCTAACAGTCAGACCACTTCGTTAGCAGAACACAACTGTAAGCCTCTGAAGTATAAATTAAATCTCTTCTTGCTGCCTTTATCTGACTCTCCAAGCTACAGAGGGGGTATTATCAAATCATTTCTTTACACTGCAGAGTAGCATTACTCTTTGGAAGATCTCCAGCAGATGCTGCAAGGAGTCCTTTAGGGGCAGCTCTCCACAGTTCATGCTGCTTTCCTCTTAGTGACATGGAGTCAGAAGACTGTGCATAGGCAGTATTTGATTTTCCTCCATTAAAAAGCCTTAAAGCTCCATGGGTAGTCTCCTCTCCTCTAAGAAACCCAAGAATGAAAGCCCTAGTTCAATGAAATTGCCTTTTAATAATAGAATCATAGAATATCCTGAGTTGGAAGGGACCCACAAGAATCATTGAAGTCTGACTACTGGTTCTGCACAGGACAGCCCCAAGAAACACACCATGTGCCTGAGAGCACTGTCTAAATGCTTCCTGAACTCTTACAGCCCTGGTACTGTGAACACCTCCCTGAGGACCCTGTTCCAATGCCCAGCCATTCTCTAAGTGAAGAATCTTTTCCCAGTCTCCAACATAAACCTTCTCTAACACAGCATCCTACTGTTCCCTTGGGGCCTATTATTGGTCACCAGAGAGAAGAGAGCAGTGCCTGCCCCTTGTGAGGAAGCTCTGGACAGCTTTGAGGTCTCCCCACAGTCTCCTCTTCTGCAGGCTGAACAGACTGAGTGACCTCAGACACTTCTCATATGGCTTCCCCTCAAGGCTCTTGGCCATTTTCACAGCCGTCCTTTGGACACTCTCTAATTGCTTTATATATTTTGTATATAGTGGTGCCCAAAACTGCACACAGAACTTCACGTGAGGCTGCCCCAGTGCAGAGCAGAGTGGGACAATCCCCTTCCTTGACCGGCTGGTGATGCTTTGCCTGATGCCCCCCAGGACATGGTTGACCCTCCTGGCTGCCAGGGCACTGATGACTCATATTCAACTGGCCATTGACCAGGACCTCCAGGTCCCTTTGCACAGCACTGATTTCCAGCATCTCATTCCCCAGTCTGTCCATACATCCAGGGCTGCCCCATCCCAGGTGCAGAATCTGACACTTGTCTTTGTTCATAGGGTTGGGGGTTGCCCAGCCCTTCAATTTGTCGAAGTCTCTCTGTGGGGCCTCCTTGCCTTTGAGGGGGTCAACAGCTCCTCCCAATCTACTACAACTGGCAAACTTGCTTAGTGTTCCATCCAAGTCATTTATGAAGGTGTTGAAGAGAAGTGGGATTAAGATGGAGTCCTGTGAAACCCCACTAATGACTGGTCACCAGCCTGATGTTACCCCATTTGCTGAAACTCTCTGTGCCTGACCCCTGAGCCAGTTGCTCACCCACCCCATGATGTGTTTATCCAGCTGTGTGCTGGACATTTTGTCCAGAAGGATACTGTGAGAGACAGTATCAAAAGCTTTGCTGAAATCCACAAAGATTATATCAACCGTCTTCCCTTAATCAACTAGGTGGGTTACCTTGTCATAAAAGAAAATTAGGTTTGACAAGCAGTACTTTCCCGTCTTGGAACCATGCTGGCTGTGACTGATGACTGCGTTGTCCTTCAGGTGTTTTCCAATACATCCCAGGATAATCTCCATAATTTTACTGGTCACTGCAGTGACACAAACAGGCCTTTTAATTTGTCATCCTTCTTGCCCTTCTTGAAAACTGAGGCAATGTTAAATCCCTACCTCATCAGCCAGAAGCCTAAAGAATAGACAACAGACTATTTTTTTTCAGAGACTGTAAACAGATAAATAAGAATTCAGCAATCTGTAATTTAGAATATAAATTTAGCACTATACCCCTGCTAGCATTAATCAATATACTTGTTGATTTACATAGAAACAATACAGATAATGTACTGAATACACTATTCAGGATATAAGAGTTTCACCTGTGGAGAATTTATAGCCCCCGTGTATGCCAAGAAAAAAAATGTTGTTATTATACACAGAACTGCAAGGAAACTTGTATTATCAATCAGGCAATAGCATGTCATGTATTTCAGTTCATAAAACTGGCATTTTTAATAAAAGGTGTCAGCTTAATTTAGAGCTTAAGCAGAGAACATAGACAAATATTTTCCAATTCATTAGGCCACAGGCCCATAGCATGAAAATAAATTCTTCTGATGAATCCTGTCACCACACTGTAATTCCAACACTGCCATTTCATGAAATTAAGCAGACCCATGCCACCCTTTGCTCTGCTGATGGAGCTCCAAATGCTTCACAAGAGTTTTCCAGGGCTGGTTGTGATGCTGTGTCATAGTGGGAGCCATCTCACAGGGTGCGCATGGGGAACGGAAGGGGTGTTTTGCCCTGAGTAAGTGGTTTGAGATAAGTTATGAGCTCATGAGTCAGGAAAACAAGCTATTTTCAGTTTATGCTCTCTGCCAGGTTCTCTTCTTGATGCCCACTCACATAAGCATAATTGTTCTGCATATGTAGCACAGGAACAAGAGCAAGTTTTGAGGACCTGAATATAAGCTGTGGAAGCTGCCTCAATGTAAGGAAAAGGAAAGAAGAAAATCCCAAGTAAGCACTGCAGCTTCTGTGTGTTTGGGAGGGAGGAATTCTATCATGTGCTGCCTGTTGGAGGGGTTTCCCTTCTTTATTGTGCCAACTGGCAAATCTCTTACTGAAACTTCTGTCAGTTTTCAGTATTACTACAAAAAATCAGTTGGCAGTTGTAATCCTTTTGTTTAGATAATTGCAATCCACTGTAGAACAAAAGATTTACATCATCTGCAAAAGTATTCCAGTTTGTAGAAAGTGTATGGAATTCTTTGTTATTGTTGACATTTTCTTTTCAACCATTCATATTTCTAAAGGAGCAAAAATGTCTTGGTGCAGCTTGCCTGGTGATTGCATTCAGGTTAGATATTTAGAAACAAATATTGCTAAGCTATAGCGCTGTTGCTAATGGTAGGTGAAGGTTGTCTTGTGTCATGTGAACTGGTCAGAGGGATGGGCACATTTCATCTGCATTTTCCCTCTTTTTATGAAACAATACACTGTGAATTGGAGAACACTTCATTTAGCATAAATTGTGCAACAAATGGCTTGCCTAAGGGAAATGGAGCACACGGCTTAACCACAAAGATTAAAAATATTTTTTTTGTTTTCAGATCTGGCTAATAATTACACAGTGAATGGTGTCTTTGTCTGCCTCTTCTGCATACAATGTATACATACTGTTATTTTGAAAATATCTTTGCTATCCTGAAACCCCACTTGGAGTACTACATCCAGGTCTATGGTCCCCAGCACATGTACCTTTTAGAGCAAATCCAGAGGAGGCCACAAAGATGCTCAGAGTGCTGGAGCGCCTCTCCTATGAAGACAGGCTGAGAGAACTGGGATTGTTCAGCCTGGAGAAGAGAAGACTCTGGGCTGACCTTACTGGAGCATTTTCAATATATAAAGGGGGCTCATAAGAAAGACAGAGAGAAAATTTTTACCAAGGCCTGAAGTGACAGGATAATGGGCAGTGGTTTTAAACTGAAAAAAGATAGATTTAGGCTGGACATAAGGAAGACTTTTTTTTTACTGTGAGGTTGGTGAAAAACTGGAAGAGATTGCCCAGAGAAGTTGTGGATGCCCCATCCCAGGCAGTGTTCAAGGCCAGGTTGGATGGGGCCCTGAGCAAACCAGGGCAGTGAGTGGCATCTCTGCCCATGGCAGGGGGGCTGGAACTAGATGATCTGTAAGGTCCCTTCCAATGCAAACCATTCTAATAATTCAAATAGTTCTGTAATTCTATGATTCCATGAAAATTAGACTTTTCTTCCATTTATATCTGCCAAGATACTGCGTTCAAAGGAGAAACCATGTGATCCAACACTGGGCACAGTTGTTCTCCATTCTGCTGCCCAACTGCCTTGGCCTCTGTGTGAGTTGAGTCATTATCTAGTTATTATTAGAGAAATTGCCCTAATTTGATATTAAGAGAGGAACTATAATTGAGTGGAAACAAGAAATTAAGGTTCAACAATGAAAGTGTCCCGGAGAGTGAATTTGGAATTAATCTTCCAGTGGGTTTACAATGTGTCCACAAAAAATAGTACCATATACCCAAATTTTTTTCAGTTACTCTGTTTTAGCAACTAATAGTATAAGATTTTGCAAAATTTAGAAAATTTGAGTATATGTTTCATATAATTCTCTCTTACGATGAGGAAATGAAAGAAAGATTATGTGTCAAATTATTGTCTCCCACTATCTTTTAATGAAAGATTTGGTGGCTGAACAAAATTTTCAGATCAGAAACAGTGCTAAGCACGAAGCTCATACTTCTTCCGAAAGTGCTAGAAGTAAAAGTTCTTCTATTATTTCACTTGACGTAGATTTTTTCCTAAATGTTTGTCACAAGAGCTTTTTAATTGCTCCATGATTTTAGTGCCATGGTAATGGAAAGATAAAAGTAACGTCTGTGGTTCCAGTATTTACCAGTGCTATGTTAAGTAATACAGTTATCCTCATAAGTATTGTAACTTCTCTTGTTGCACAGATCTAAATAGTATTACACATATCAATCCTCCAGAAAGTATTGTTAGCTAGCCTACAGTAGAATAGCCACTGAATTTTACAGTACTCAACCTAACAATATTATTTACATTCCATTGTTATAGAAATAGTGCACTATGGCTCCCGGTTAGCAGGATTTCTAAGTGAATAATTAGTGCTTGTCATTGATTCTTATTAAAATCACTGAAAGTATGCAAATTCTTAAAGCTCTGTATTTTAAAATATTTTCCTGAGTCAGACTTATATACCTTAAAGCAGTGGAAGTATTTTCACTGAAATTAGTAACAACTGGGAAGGAAAACAACTGCAGTAATAACCATATTTTTTCTGTAAGTGGTATGTAGGGACCCTATACTTGCCTTACATGTCTATATGGTTTTGTTCTGTTCAACTCTTTTGCAAAAGAGTTGGTGTAGCTGTGCTAATATACTTTTTTTTGTGGGAACAGTTTTAAGTAAGGAGATCTTTAGTTGTTCCCTCTTAAAACAGTAAATAGGTACTTCCATCTTGAAGCAAGGAATGTCTGGTTTTGGTTGGTTATATTTTTCTATCCCCCAGCCAACATGCAACCTCAAATATGCATATGCATTATGTATAGTGTTTAGGGTTTACTTAGTAGAAAGCACGAGTTATATATTCAGTTTTGCCACAAAATAGAAGTCCTTTCTTCCAAAGGAATGTCCACATTTCTGCTATGCCAATTGGCTGAAGGGCATACGTTTGTTTGCAATTTATGTGTTTTGTTGTGCTTTTTTTAAAATTTCATCTTTCTGTGATAGTTTGTAGTGAAGCTTTTCCATTTTCTAGTTCTAAATACTTCCTGGGATAAACTAATAGGATGTAAGAAGGAAGATTGTCTTATTCAGTAGCCAAAAATAAATTTATGGAAGGACATCTTATTGGTCTGGATTTGGATTCAGATTTGTAGTTGTTGTTGATGTGGTGGTGTCACCTGTAGCGTCAGGCAAGTAAGTGGAATGGGGCAGGTGGTGTAGCTAATTGCCTTAGTGTTTATCATGTCTTGCATGAGGTTTTTAATATCAAGACACAAGATGAATGGATCATTAGGAGTTTGGCAAGAGTGTTTTGTGGGAAGAGTAGCCTAGGAGGAATACTACTGCAATAAGTACAGCATAAAATATGAAGATAAGCAGAAGAGAGAGCTTACAATAGCAAAACGCACTATTTGTATCAGCTTAAGCTTCTGAACTCATAGTTTGGAGAAATGAAAGCAGTAGTTATTATCTGTCTGGGATCTGCTTGAGTCACTGAACTCTTGTACCCATAGCCTGTGTGCAGACAGAATTTTCATTACTTTTCATCCAATTGTCAGCAGAAAAGAAATTTTAGGGCACTGTCAGGACATTTAGCTTGCTGGATTGCATTCACTGAGGTGATTTCCCAATATGTGATATGAAGTGGTTGGTCATTTCAAATTCTTTTTAGTCTCTCACTATCAATACTAATTAAGACGACTTTATCCTTAAAATATTTTACATATTTTGAAGTAATTTCTCAGTTCTCTTTTTATCTCTTTAGTGTAGCAGTATAGAGGGACACAACCCAGATGTCTGCTAGAAATCTTCTGCTGGATGTTACAGATGCATTTAGGAATCTCCAGCATAGCAAGATCTGATAGAGCACAACTACAGTCTCCCTGCCTCTCCTAGATGCCCATGCAGAAATCCCCCATAAGCCTCCACAAAACATCTGCTTGTGCCACTGTTCGGCAGCACATATTCATTCCACAATTCTTGCTACCAATGTGTTGTTTAGGCATTCTTCTTATGGGTGGTCAATGGCATTTCCATGCGAGTCACTGTATGTGTGTCATTCTAAAGAAGGACATTGCTTAGTTCAAACTTCTTTTTCTGAGAAGAACATTCCTAATAAATTCTGAAAAAGAGTAAGTCTTTCCTTTATCAGGAAATCTCACTTTGTGCTGGTATGAGTGTTGTTTTGTTTGGGAGGGGGTGAGATTGGTTTTTCTAGATCTTTTTAGTTATCTATTACTTATAGTGAGCATTCTTGCTCTGTTATCATATGCAGTAGGGTTTAGAACAGTGAATGCTATTTGTCTCAATATTTATAAAAACGTGCTTCTTGAGTAGTTCCTCATTCAATTTTAAGGTTACACAGGCAGAACATATCATACATCTGGGCTGAATATAATATCCACTGAACTGCTTGTGAGACACAGGATCAGAATCTCACTGAATTATTGATATGGGTCAGAACCAACTCACTGTCAGTGTGTGTGTGCGTGTGGGGAAGGGCTGGGCCCAGACCTGCAGGTCCATGGTAAGGCCTGTACATCAGGCCTGCTGAGGGCACAGGGCAGAGCTGGAAGGTCCTGCAGCCCACATGGCGGTTCAGCCCATGCAGAGCCCACGGCATCACTGAAGGTGGTGCAGCCGGGCTGTCAGTCAAGGCAGACCTGCCTGGTAGCCCACCCACACCAAGCCCCTGGAGCCTGTGACTGCCTGCAGCACACCTCACTCTGGCCTGGAAGGCACCGACTGGATATCCTGCCTGGGAGGGAAAATGGAACTCTGTAAATACACAAGACTCCATGTGAGCTCTGTCTCTCTCTTTTCTCCTGCTGCCTGCACCACGTGAACCATCAGATCTTGTTGGTAACCATTTTTCCTGTCCTCTCTCTCCTTCTGTCTTTCATCTCTCTTTCTTTACTCTTTTATCTTTGTTCTTCTTTTACTCTTTTCCTTCCCTTATGGGTAACTTAAACCAATGAATAGTGTTTTACTAAAGCTGGTATATTGATTATTTGTAGCATTTTTTTCCTGTGGAATGGGTTTTTTGTGATGAGTGTTTTAGTGAAATATTTTTTCTTGCTTGTATTTTACTCCTGTAAAACCTTTTGCCAAAATATCTTATTTTTCTCACTAAATTAAAAGAATTTCCCTTAGAGAAGTGTGTGACTCTTTTTCCAGATGCGAATTCGAGGTTATAACAAACCAAAAGGCTTTTAAAAAGTCTTAAATAAAATG